AGGACACTTCTTCCATCCTACATTTAGTTTTGTTTTCTGCAATATCATCTCGTGTGTCTCTTCATCTACCTCCATTATTATTGAACCTTCTTCATTTCCTCTTCTTTGATCGTTATTCTTTACTTTGACCATTCTCTTCACAATTCGCATATTTACTGTATCTATTTTATTCTGCTTCTTTATCGTATTTATAAGCTCATTATCATCTAAGTTCATCTCTTCTAAATTTATATTAATAATTTTTATTTTTGGTTTCGATTTAGACTCCGTCACTTTGTAATTCTCTCCCAGTTTAGCTTGAATTATCTCTTTCAACTTTTTTACTTCCTCTCCAGTTTCACATCCCATGATTACTACTCCTTTGCTTCCTTTTTTTAATTTTGTTACTCCCATTGCCATATTCTTTATATCTACCTTCTCTTTTATCACTTTTTTCGTGTCTTCACTTTCCTGTTGCAATTTCGGTTTAATAATTATAAGACTCTCTTTCTTCTTTTCTTTAACCGCTTCACTGTAGCTTCTTTGCGTTCCTCCCTTCGATCCATACTCTATTCCCTGTATTATTTTCTTCAAGTTTTCCATCTCGTGTTTAACACTTCCTAATTCTTCTTGAACTACTTCTTTAATCATTATTTTAATTTCATTTTTACGCATCGCTTCATCTTTTATTTCTTTCACAGTTCTTATAATCCAGTCTATTTTTATATCAATGCTTGACCCTTTATTTCCATTGCTCGGTGTTGTGAACACTCCTGTAGATCCTGTAGATCCTGTAGATGATGTCCTATCTCTCTCTGCCGGTGCCGGAGCTTTCTCACTATCAGTTAAAAATTCCTCAAATGGGCCTTTACACGGCACGTACTCTTGATTTCTGTCGATAATTTTATGCTCATTTACACATCTTGGATGGTAAAAAAGCTTTGGGCAATTTTTACATTTAACGACTCTGCTCTTAATTGCCTTCCTACATGCCGAGCATCGATACTCTGCATATTCGTCGTCCATGCTGATAATTACCGGCCAAAACCGCTAGTATCAGCGTAAGCGATCAGTCACCTGTGATCCACTTTCACATGTCAGCACTATTGTGTCCACGTATAATGTCTACTGTCTTGTGAGACTTCAAT